GATGCTTCTGCTAATGAACATCCAAAACTTCAGGTATGCTGTTTTAAGCAATCAGTCAGCTTTCTACACCTTAATACTAAATTTACTCTTGACTTTCTTCCAATAGATAACTTGATTGCCGATCGAGAGTCAATTACCTTGTTCAGCATTATTTTTTTGCATGCGTTTCTACCAACCAGACTGAAACTCCTAAACGATACTTGTGTATTATGTAAATACCCTTCATGCTTTTCTAATAAGATTGTTCTTTTTTCTGGGTATGTTAGCTCTCATATAGTTCATGATTCTCAGTTCGAGTGTCACTAGAAAACCAAGGAAGCACGTTGATCACCTATGGAATCCTTCAACTTGGATTACACATTTGATGACTGCAAGGTGATTCATACTGTCATTGTTTTGTTTCAGGTCGATGACTACCCGTCGCTTTTTTTATACAAAGCCGGTGATAAAGACAATCCGGTAATCATTATAACAGTATTCACTCCATTTTTTGTGTATCTGACTTGTTTAGCACTATCTGAGCATCTGACATAGCGATCCATTTCTTGCTTTGCAGATCAAACTTTCAACAAAATCTGGTTCAAAAGAACTAGCAGCCTTCATTATCAAACAAGTGAAATCCAAAGATCAAGCGGCCAAAGATGAACTATAGGAAATCTATGGTCTAGAATACCTAAAAACAATTATGGCTGCCCACAAGGCCTCCCAAAAATATAGGGGGAAAAGGGGGCTTTTACCAAAGTTTTTCAACTCCCTTTGATATATGTTTTGCTTTGTTAACGGTAGTCCATAAAATTTTTAGGTCCAGAAATTCTTCCATATGTATTAAGGGTGTTGGGAAATTTGAAAACTTGTAATTTGGCCCTATTGTTATAGTAACAAGCCAACAAAGAACAAAGCTCGAGTTTTATTTTAATTTTTAGCGATTGAAGCCTTTATATGATTCTCGGTATATATATGGGTTAGGATCCACTTAGACATAGTGTAAAACTAAACATTTTACACCATTTTAGGATCGTTAGATGAGGGAAATAAGCTGAGATTAACTCTCTTTTTTTTCGAGTGAATATTTTCTCATTTTTTATTTTTAATCTCAACTTTCGATTTTTTATTATTCAACGATCGTAAAAAGGTACAATATTTTTTTAGTTTTACACTATGTAATTAGATCCTAGCCCTATATATATATATATATTTAAAAGTAAAATAGAAATTATGTTGGTGTAATGAGATAATGAAAATTGTTATAAAATAAGACAACAAATTCAGCACTTGTCAATTTGAAATATCGACTATTTCAAGGTGGAGAACCGAGGGTCTAATACAATGAAAGGTAAGCCTTGTGACAAATAAGTTGAGGGAGAGTATTGGTGGGAATTATAGTCCAACACATGCGCTCTGTTGCAGTTCATGTTAAGGGCTGATAGGAGCAAATATCATATACTCGTATTTTTCAATCATCTCAGCAATAATGCCTAACCCACGGGATAGGAGTAAATTTCTAGAGCAAACTTGACAGTTACATAAACATCCATTACTTTCATTCATAACAAAGATCAAACAACAAAGTTTCTACAAATGTCTCTCTTAAGAACATTCTATTCAAAGCCTTTTAAGAATAATTTATGTTATTAACTCTTCCTGTTTCAGTTTCGCAATGAATACAATGCCTCGCCATACCCATTTTCAACCAGAATTGTTATTTCATTCACCCTGTTTCAACTTCAACAGTAAAAGATTGATTCGTTCAAAAAAAATCCCTACACATTCTGGGAAACAGAACGAGGATATATCAAATTATTTTGCAACTTGAATCAGCTGACTTGACCACAATATTTGTCTACAAGTGCAGACAGATAATAAGATGTGAAACACCATGTCTAAAAAATTTCAACCATCTTAAAACATGATAAGGGCATCCGTAACCAAAACCAGAAGATACATAAACTTGATCCCAAAAAATATAAGTATAATTTAAGGGCCAAACATCAATAGCTTTGTTAATCCTTGCTCAAAATTTTAACTCCATAAAAATAAACTAAAAACAACTTAAAGCATTTCATTGTAGTAACACTCCTCGGGTAAAGTTCTCATAAAACTTTTCCTTACAGAGCAGCTCGATCCTTCATAATACCTTAAGCAGAAGCTGCTGCAACCTTCTTCATCGGTGCTGCTTCAGTACCTAGACCATGATCGAACACAAAATTTGAAAAATACTAACACAGAGAATACTCCAAATAGAACTGATCAGGGTTTTAAAAAACGGTCCGCGACTGTTATTTTGGCCGCGATATAGCGGTTTCGCCGCCGTCCGAGTTACCCGCGACGGCCGCAATAGCGTCCGCGACGGCCGCAATCACGGTAAATCCGAAATAACCGAAAACGCGACCGCAACCGCGATTTGAAACACTGGAACTGATTATGTTCATGATGCAAAGGTACTTCAAATTTATAAGGCAATGAACATAAAAAGTTAAAAGGTAGCTACCTTCTCTGAAGCCAGTCTTGAACCTGAAAGGAATATGGCCAAGACACCTCATCCTACCAGTTCCAGTGTCTTTCTTCTGATTGCCTTCACACTCCAGTTATCGGAACCCCACTATAAAAAAAACTCCTCTCAGTCCTCAGATTTAAGGATTAACACCAAATTACAATCCATTCACACTGCTCACACAATTTCATACAAGCAAATTACCACATGATCATTCGAATAACTTCAAATAACTAATAGTATTAGCATATTTCATGCAACATTAAAACTAACAAATAGATATAGCACAACATTTGCTTACGAGTATACGGCACAAGTTCATACTTTTATAAAGAAACAAACCCAAACAATCAATCGAAGAAAACCAGGTGCAGAAGGAGACTCAGTAACAAAGTAAACAACAAAAACTAAAGTTCTAGACATCAAAGAAAAAGTGATGGGAAACTTACATGTCCTCTTACGAGCAGCAGGGAAAGCAAAGGCAGAACAACGGTTCTTCTGGCGATGGAAGCTACGGCGGATACAGGGTGTGAGTCTTATTCCTTCTTTTACCAAAACTCCCTGTTCCCTTTCCCTGCGCATTACCATTTTCATTTTGTTTTCAACTATCCAAACAGATCAGCTGCTGTAAAAAGAGAAGAGAAGAGTGCTCATTGGTTATTTTACCATTGGAGCTGACGCAGAGAAACCCTAAGTGGCTCTGTAGAAAGAGAGCGGCTGAGAAGATACGGTTTCTAGCAAAACCAGTCGGTAGCAGAAGAGAAGACACACTTAAGGTAGAGAAGTGGCACACTTGGACTTTAATGGGCCCTTGAGTATACTTTTGGTCCTAAACTAAAACCCAATAGTTAGCTTGGATTGGGCCAAGATGAATAAATGATTGCTCAAGATATAGGTTAATTTAACCAAATATCACTGTAAAAAAATTAAATGCCAAAAAACAATTCTATTCTAAATTAATTATTGAAACAATACCATCCAATTAAAGTATAATTTAAATCTGTCAAAAATGTGTTTAGTCGATCAATAGATCGTATACCAGTAGTTATAAAAAAAATTTTGTTTAGTCAAGTATACTTTTAAAATCTTGGATAAAATCTCAAAATAGAATAAAGTATATACACTTTGAACATACAATATTAATTGTTTGGGTTCGATTAACTAAGCAAAATATAATATTTCACAAATTTCTTTTAAAAGAGTCAAAAAATCTCTCCACAGATATATGGATAAGATGCTCTAAAGTAATAAATTGGTAAGTGTTATTGCTAAGTATTAAATGATTGCTCTTTTAATTGATTGATCTGTCTTAGGTAGAGCAATTCAACACATAAATGATCTGTATGCTGCAATTTAATTTATTGAAAACATGTTCTGCAACAGATTCTTCGGAAAGATCATCTTGTTTCTGCAAATTCATTATTATGGTCAAATTTGTAAGATATTCGATCAGTTGTTCGGATTCAATAAAGATTGGGATAAGAAAGCAGAACACATTGTATTACACACAATTCATATTCGTGGAACCATTTAGATTTTCAAACAGTTCTGGATTTGAATTTATCAGGTAATGGTGAAAGACATGTCACAAATAGAATAATGGTCTCGCAGCTCTTGCCCCATCTGCTGTGATGCTGTTATTGGTTAGGCTTATCTTTTTGTCAAACTATATGTAAAACAAAGGCTCAAGCTCCCTGTTTTAGGTTGGTGGAAAAACTTTATTGTAGTCAGGGTTTCAAGTCTCGGTCGTGTTTTCGGTCATTTCGAATTTATCGTGATTGTAACCGTCGCTGGCACTATTGCGGCTGTCTAGGGCGCTATTAGGCGCTATTGCGAGTGTAGCGGGTAACTCGAACGGCAGCGAAACCGCTATTTCGCGGGTGATATCATGTTTTCACAATGGCAATTGTGAGAAAGTAACTTAACCATGCAAGCATCGACATGCACCTTATCTTCACATTAATATCAGCAACCGAGTTTTGGGTCCCTTAGATGTCATCCCTCAGGACTTATGAGGACCATTTTAGACTTTTTATTATTCGGAGTTATCGAATATAGATATATTTCTAATACGATTATATTCAACAAAAAGAGAAAGAACCAGCAATGTTCCATTTATGGGTCCGTTAGGTCATCATTGCTTACAAAAAAGTAGCAGTAGTAAATATGGATCATATCACCCAACCAATAATTGCCTCTTGCTTTGAATCATAATCTATAGCACGACACTTTACGCAACAAAGAGTCAAAAACAAAAACATTTGTTATGATTAGATTCCTAAGATCTCAATTTCTTCAATCTTTTTGCCCCAACTATGTTAGGGTTAAGGAGAAAAGTAAGGAAAAGTGCAAGCAACAAGGAACAATATTGCACTTTCGGCTTCGTTAACTTTGTCTTATGTTACTCGAATTCTTCATTTTTATTTGAAGTATCCGTATCCAATATAAATTTCAACATGCGTATATGATAAAAGTAAAAAAAAAATAGCAGTGTTGACACATAACCGAGTAATATAAGCTATGTTAGCGGGTAAACTTTAAGAAACATCTCTTGTCTCAATCTATCTTACCTGTATATTGGACACACCAGTTGGGGACGAAGCAGAAGATTAGAGCTGTGTCTTTAGTTGCAGATAGGAACACCAAAGAGATTAACAAGCCTCTCCATAAAAACCCTACTGGCAATTGGCAAACAATGCCAGTGATGGAATCCATACAAAAGACCAAGAACTTGTCCCACAAGTCAGTTGACAACCTTAAATCTTTCGTCTCTGTAGGATACCAAAAGCTATGCAAACCAACCCTCCCAGACCCCTTCCCTTGCAGTGGTTGTAGCAGGAAGAAAGACCAGAAAGATCGATCCTTGGCGGAGGCGGACTTTAGCTACAACTGGGAAGTTGGTCTCGAGAAATCAAAGATGACGAACAACGATGCGATCGTTGCTACGTCGATGGCAGAAGAAATGAGGGACGAAGAGGAATGTGGTGGGAGCTTAATGAACTTTTCAGATATGAGTCCGCAGAAGAAGGTAAAGGAAACTGGAGGGAAAGAGGAAAAAAAGAAAGTGGGAAGCTCAAAGCTGAGTAAAGGGGAGGAAGGGTACTACTACAAGAGAAATGGAGATGGGAGTTATGCATTGGCTCAAAAGATGAAAGAACTGGAGATGATGGATGTTGGTGATATGGAACATGTATTGGATGTGGAAGAAGCACTTCATTATTATTCTCGGCTTAAAAGTCCGGTCTACCTTTCGATCGTCGACAGGTTCTTCATGGATATGTACTCTGAATTCTATCTTCCACAGGCCTCTGCCAGCATCAACAGGTCGAAGCGAAGATCCGGTTCGATTCGGTTGTAGATCCATGTCTCCGCATCAACCTGTTTTCTTATCTAAATACCTTTTCTTCTCTCTGTTGTGTGTGTGGTCGCATGTCTGAATTCCTCTGTTTTTAATTGCTATAATTTGCTTGAGCATCCATTGTTATCAGTAAAACATAGAAGTTTCATATCAAGATTAAAGAAATGTATATTTGCATGTATTTTCGTACAATATTATCAAATATTTCTTTGAATAAACTTTGCTTGAATCACAGATATCGATTGTTTGAGCCATTAGATCAATCTGCACCTTCTGGCATCAAATCTCAAGTGTGATGAGAGATGATGTCTCTGGATTCCAGTTTGAAAGAGAATGTTTTAGGGGTCATACTTACCTGCGGTGCATTACTCTCCATGACGGACAAAATTCACCACATCAAATCTAAATACAAAATATTTTAAATATGATTATGATATGGGAAAATATACAAATACAAAATAGATAAATTAATGTATAAAATTAACAATAGATTTGTTTATGAAACTCCTATTTACTTCTTACATATTCAAATACTCAGATATTTTCGAATTCAGATATTATACTCCAATTTATGTTTTAGCATCAACATGTAGTAATAGAATTTAGGCCATTACCCTATTACCAGAAAAGAAAAATCTGTAATATTTATTTATAATAATTTAATTAGTTTTTATACAAATGAATTAACTACATAGACGTCTTTAACAGTCATAAAAGATGAAAGTTGAATAAATCCAACTACAATGTTGCAGAACCTTAACAATATCATGCAAGAAGGCATATATTGGAACGTTAAGCTCTTTTAAGCGCTTCTCAAATGATCCAATCGCGTTTGTAACTGCATAATTCCGTCAACCTTCTGCGAAAGAATAGCATCCAATGTAGATATATAATTTTCCAGCTTGTTCCCAGGTCGGTTTGCATCAACAAGAAGGTCCATCTCCTGTGAATGATACAATGTTAATTGAATAAACCTTCACAAGATCTGTTCAGAACAGTCAGGTGAAAAAGAATAACTTCAAAATGAAATGGTCAAATTGATTACCTCTTTGACAATGTTCATGGTCTCCTCTACCTGTTTTCTATGAGCATTTACAAGATCCTCCTCTTCCCGAGTAAAAGAAACACTAAGGATTTAACGTACCAACCATTACCTTTATATGCCTCTAACAATATCATTCTTATTGCAAAAATTACCTGCATGAGGGTATTCAAATCATCTTCTAATATTGGTTGCTTAAAATCAGATTTCGATGGTTCCTTCCGTTTAGTCTGGCCAATTGGCTTCCGTAACTTGTCCTCGGAAATATAGAAACTGTATTCATCTGGCTTCACATTTTTCGTCCATTTCATTTTTCTCCTGCTCCTATAAATCTTCCGATGCATCAAAATCATCTCTTTCATTTTGGTCAGGCCATGTATCTTCTGATGCATCAAAATCATCCTCAAAGGATGATGCAGTTGGTAAAACCGAAGATAAGGGCTGAGCAGTTGATTTTTTTCAGGCTTAAGGTTGAAGATTCCACATCTTTCTTAGCATTCGCCCCTTTTGAAAGGCTCTTCACTCTGGATGGAGCTCCAAAGTCTAAGGAGGTTAAACGACGGCGTTCTGGTGAAAGTTCTCTATTATTCATGTAATCCCACATCGCTCGTTTTATAAGGTAAAAAACAAGTTATAATAAAGCTTGCAGCGCCCTTACGTTGTGTTCGTAGAAAGGAGAGATGGTTGGCATCTCCCCTGACAGGGACGGGAACGGCCTACGGGCTTTCCTGTTAACACATCCGGTTAAGGCTACCCACCTTCTAGGTGGATCTATAACCCAATTTTTTTTCTCCAAATTATTATGAAATTATTCCTTATAAGTAATCTTTGACAAATATGTGAAATAAAAAAACAAGTAAAGACAAAGGGCAGAACAACTTTAATAGTGATGTGATGCTGAAATGGAAACAAATTTCATCTGCATATCAACTCCAGGTGTATTTAGACTTCTAAACATCCTTGTACTTTCAAGTTTTTGATGTGATTATAAATCAGAGCTCTTCGAAGCGAAGAGATCTGCATGACTTGAAAAGATAAGATGATCCTGAAACTGAACTATTTGGCATATAATTTTGTTCCCAGTTTTGGTTGTTAAGACAAATTTACCACATATCCACTTACAATGGGATTATGATCCTACTCCAATATCAGATACTAAAAACTTTTATTTATTTTCTTTCAGCTATTGTTTCCATAATGCATCAATATATCCAACAGTGAAGCCCAATCTGGTCTATATCCAACTCTTAAAGCCTTTATATAGTGTGTCATTTGTGATGTTTGGGCTTATGGATTTTGATAATATTCAATAGTGAAATCATTATTCATCCGCCTTCTATTTTCTGTTGTTTATTTGTTAATATAGTTAGTCGTCTTCTTCACAGAGACTTAGCTAAGTAATTTCTATAGATTCGAACTGGTCAATCATTCTGCAATTGAAAGATCTCACTGTACCTTGTCTGCTTATCATTATCTGTAGTATCTGCTCTTCTTTCACTTCCAGCAAGATCTATAAATGAGCCTCATCCAGCACTACATCAAAAACAAATTCATGCTTCTTCAAGTACTCTGTAAGGTCAACCTGCAAAATATAAGGAATTGAATACGTCAAAATGGTAGGATGAGGACAATTTAAGACGAAAGATTGCGCGATTGAAGTGTGCCAAAACTCAAAAGCCAAGTGATAAATGAACACAACATAAAATGCTACACGGCTACACCCTCCATCCCACTCAAATGTCCCTTATTATTTTTTTTTCTTTTGTCAATTTTTTTCAACTTTAACTCATTATTATTTAAAATTTATTATTGATAAAAATATAAAAAAATATATTTTAAAAACCTTTAATCAAGTAGTTTTGAAATATATATTTTATAAAATTTAATTTTTAAAATATTCATAATTAAAGTTCAAAAATTTCAACTTTTAAAAAAATTAATAAAAGACAAATTTAATGAGATGGAATTAGCACCTCTTTTACACTGCTATTACATGGAATGACAACCATACAATGGGCAAAATAAGGAAAATATTGGTGGTGCCAAAATAATTTGGTAAAATAAAATATCTTCAAATTTATTTTGAGATCTATAATATTCACTACATTACTTTGGACATCATGTCCATATATTTTTTAATAGAACTTTGTTCATGACAAATTCTACTAAAAAGTATTTTTTATTAAAATTCAACATGCCCACGTGACGAGTTTTAAAGTATTATATTAAATGTTATGGATCTCAAAATAACTTTTCACCATCGGTATATTTAAAAAAAATTGGCACAAGCATTATTGCGTTAATTTTGCCTCGTATATTGCTCTAGCCAAAAAAGAAAAACAATATTTTTTGTAATAATTATTTTATGCTATAGGAAAATTTAAGGTTAATATGTGGTGGAGGTTTTAATTAAAAGAGAAAATAACCTCAGTGACCAAAAATGTCTTATAATATACGAATTTAACCAACTTTTTTGGATTTACCAAAATGACCAACAAATTCGCAACGCGAATTCCAATTTCGCAACCTAGTTTCCAATTTCGCAACGCGAATATGTAAATCGCATTGCGATTTTCCAAATTCGCGTTGCGATATTCCAAATTCGCAACGCGATAGTCAAATTCACAACTGAATTTCAAATTCGCAACGAGAATTTAATTTCGCAACAGGTTTTAGTTTCGCAACACAAATGTTTTGGGTATATAACAACGCAACAGCAACAACTCATAACCTAAATCCCTAAATCGCAACTCATTCCATCTTCATCTATCACTCTCTCCGGCGACATCCGTTCCTATATCCAACGACATCCTTCCCCATCTCTATTTTTTTTACATAATTTTATTTCTATATAATTTTTCAATGATTTCTCTCTCAAATTATCAACTTAATAAAGGTATATTTTTATCTAAGTTAGTGATGATATCTAGTTTATAGCTCGTTTGTTTAGTAAATTAATTTATAATTTTTAGAATGAAATCATCTAATGTTGATCATGTTTGGATAGATTTGTGTTTTGGAGGGTCATGGGAGAATGTTCATGGTGTTTTACAATATGTGCCCTTACCCATGAATCTTTAACTAAAACTGTCATTTAAAAAGTTAAATTATGAAACTCTAATGTTACGTGTTGCAAAGAAATTGAATTTAGAGCCTCTATGTGGATTTAGGCTATCTTATCTGAGAAAAGGTAAAGTTTATTTGTTAACCGACAATGAAGATGTTGAACGATTCATCGCTTACATTAGTGTTTCGCAAGAAGATGATGTTACATTGTATGTTGTTGAACCTAGAAGTAGTGAAGTTGGGTCAGTAGCGGGTAGTAATCAACTAAGTTCTTCAACCTAAAATTTAATGGTTCCACCACAATTTCATCACCAAGCAAATTTTGTTTCACCACATTTCCAATACCAAACACAATATCAAACACAATCTCAAAACCCACAACCTTTTCCTAATCCAAATCCCAATCAACTTTCAGCACCAAATTCGGATTTTCGTATTGACCAGTTAGACGATTATGAGCCAATAGAAAAAAATGTGAGTACTAGTCAGTATTCAAAATTTGATCTTGGTCAATACCCGGACTTTGATCTTGATCAATACTCGGATTTTGATGATGTGATGGAAGAAGAAATAGACCCTGTATGTAATGATTTTGATATTAGTTAAAATCCGAATTTTGATGATGAAACAGCCGCTGCCGAGGAAGATGTTGTTGATGATAATGAGGATGAAGTTACGACTGTGAATAAACATATTGAGCATCCATTATGTAATTCATATAACCCAGAAGAAGAAAAAGAAGAAGAAGAAGTCCCCGAAGAAAGGAAAAAGAAGAAAATGCCACGGGAGTATAACTGAAATATGCCAGAATTACATCAGATACCGAAAGAATAGTTGGTAAAGATATCAGTTGATTGTTACACAAAAGTTATTCGTATCAAGAAAGATGATTGTTTTTATACAAATGAAGACTTGAAGATAGCTTTGTATACGAAATATGTGGAAGATGGCTATCAACTAAGAGTTAACAAATCAAACAAAGATCGTTTCGAAACAAGGTGTATGATTGACAAAAACTGTACATGGCGTATGATTGCTAAGAGGATAAAAGATTGCGAAATATTTCAAGTTAAGACTTTTATTGATAAACATACATGTTCAAGAACCCAA